CTATTGAACAAATTGTTTCTTTTCAGTTAGAATTCACACAAGAACAGCAAGAATGTTTACAAGAAACAGCAAGAGGAGCTGGAGAGAGAGAAAAAATATTAAAATGCTATGGCAGAATGCATAAAGTAGAAACGTTAAGATAATCATCAGATGATTTGTGTGCGCGTTTTGTTTGAAATATCATTGGTGAATGTGTAAGAATAAAATGAAAAAGGATTGTATTGAGGTACATTTAGAAGTCTAAAGTACATTCAGAATCTAAATAATAGAGTGAAAATGCTGAATCATGGAGAAAGGGGAAGTAAGACACACATCCATACAAAAGAGGAAGTGTGTGTGTATGACAGAGAAAGGAGACAGAGTATTAAGGAAAGTAGAAAATCATGGTTCCATGCATAAAATAAATATTTAATTCATAATTAATGTTTGATCAATGTCTAATAAGTGATAATCAAGTATTGTATTCAAAACATAAAGATCCATGTGAGATCCAGATGTGAGTTTTCTGTATTTTCATTGGGTTAGGATGATTTAATTTTCTAAGAGAAGTTAAACTGCTAAATTACTGTGAATGGGGAAGTTGGTTACAACCGGTCAAAAGCAGTCATGAGCAGTCACAAGGAATACTGAACATTGACAAGTAAGCAATATGCAAACGGGTTTTGAAGAACAACATTGTGCATGCCAAAAAAGGTATTAAATACAAACTGTGGCATCTGGTTGGATGGAGGGACTAAGTCTACTGACCAGAATCCTTTAAAAACCCTGGCAAAAAGAGGAACGAGAGCATTCCTTCACAGTTGCAGCTGGAGGCTCTGTCCGGTTGATTTTCTGACTTCCAGAAGACCGAGTGACTGAAGGAAGACAGCCGAAAGAGTGAGTGGGCTGCGGAAGAGAAAACTCTGAATTTCTGTTTAAAAGATGACTTATGGAGGTAAAGAAAAAACCACCAATAGAGCCGCTACAGAGAGCGGGATGACGGCGAGGAACGATTTACTGTGCCAAAGCCTCATGATTCAGCAAGAGGAAACTCTGAATTCTTATTTAAAAGATTTAATCTGAAATGAAGATTTCAACAGAAAGCCACGATCCAACAAACTCAAACCAACTGAGGACTAGTGACCATGAGCAAACCTTTGACTTTTATTCAGTGTCTTGAGAGCTCAATGAAAATAATTTTAATCAGTATGATCATTTTAGATTTATGTTTAGAAATAGTAGTTGTTGATTTATGGAGATTGTAAGCCAATCAAGACAATTATTGATTTTAATGCTATATCTTGCTGCTTTGCTGTAACACTTTTAAGCTTCTATATAAAACTCCTATTTTGTGTTTATTGAGTCAAGTTTTGATGTTACTAATTATTATGATTTTAGTGGGTTTACACTTTTAAGTGGTAATGTTCAAGGCTGTTTAGGACTATAATATAAGTAGTTAAATGCAACTTTCTGAAAAGGGAATCAGTGATGATTGAAATTAACATTGGAATATTGACAATTTTCAGTCATTTAAAAACAATCTAAATGAACTAGTCAGTTGTTTTCTCATTATATTACACACATTATAATTCAAATGCCTTATCTTAGAACACAACTTGATAATGAGTTTAATCATATTATTCAACAATGAACAGTGTTAATAGTATGCCAGCCTTCTCAACAATGTCTCAGAAAGTTAAAACAGGCGGTAGCAACCTAGCGGTGTTAACAAGCTGCCTGGCTGTGGAAACCTAACGGTGACAACACAAGCAGCACTTTTCTGATTGGGCTTGTTGCTTGGGTGAATTCCATACAAACAGGCTGGTTGGTGAGAGGGGAGGTGATGTTAGAAAGTTATATCAGAAAATATTTTATAAAGCATCCAGCTGTTTACTTATTACATAATATACACTATCCTTTAAATTTTCTATCCTTAATAACATCTTATGTCAACTAAATACTGTGTAAAACAAATATGGTCTTAAGTGGCCAGTGTCGGGCTTTTCTTGGTTATTTCATACAAAATGTATCACTTCCTCAAAAAGCCAGAGTATACTGGTTTATAAAAATTTCTCAGTACAGTAACATCAGAGGGTATAAAGAGGTAGCTGCCACTATAACTGCAAGTTGTTATTTGGGAGGTTTTGGGTTCTTATCCTGAATTAATGACATGAAAGGGGGAGGTGTGCAGGGAACTCTGTTTGCAGGTTCATGGTAGTCAATTACTGAGTGAATATCTCTGTCATAAAACGTCAAGCAGTGTTTGGAGCTTTAATATGTTTGAAATATGCCACCTTAGTGTAAGAGGTTAACCTAACCGTCCCTGGTAGGCTAGTGGTTAAGGCGTAGCACTCTCGCCGCTGCGGCCCGGGTTCGAATCAGGGTTGTGTCAGGAAGGGCATCTGGCGTAAAACACATGCCAAATGTCAACATGCGAGTCGTCAGTGTGATGATTCGCTGTGGCGACCCCTAAACGGGATAAGCCGAAAGTGACTTTCTTTAGTGTCAGAGGTTAAACTGTATTCCTATGTCCAGGGGTTAGCATATCGTGGCCTTCATACAATACACATACACGCATGTAGAATATGCACACATAGTTACATGCACACAAAACACAGTGTTGGTTGTCAGAGAGCAGTAACTGTATTAACTGAACAAGGATGAGTTGTTGAGTTACAAAAGTTTATAAACTGGTCCTACGCTGAGGTTGGAACCCATTCAATGCAATACTGTTCATTAATCCATCCAATCATTATCTATACAGCTTATCCTAAAGAGGATCACGGAGGGGTGGCGGGTGAGAGATGAGGTACACCCTAGACAGGTCACCAGTCTATCACAGGGCTGATACTTAGGGATAGACAACCATACTCACTCCTTGACTAAACACAAAATAGTCTATCTCTTGGGAGTTATTTTCATTTTGGTTCTGCTTTATACCAGATAGTGTTGTGAGGCAGGTAGTTAGGTGTGATACATCTCACAACCTTTTTGCGACTCACTCCTTGGCTTCCATGCTCATTTATCTCAACACCTACATGCACACATTCTCCCTCGGCTTATCTGTCTTCCTTGTATTTTCTTTCTGCTGTGTAGTGATAACCTGAGTTTGTGCGCAAATGGTTAAAGAATTTATGATTTAAAGACTGTAGCAAATTTTGTATATAAACATTCAGCTGCCAGATAAGCAGCTGTTTGTTTTTCTTTTGTCATTTGGCTTGTCAGCACACTAACATGGCATCGCCTGTGTGATTGGGCTTGTGTGTGTTGAACTCAGGAGGCACTGATCAAGATGCTTTGTGAATTTGGCTGGCCCTCTCATATTGATACTTGGCATCACAGGGGTACAGTGTTCTGCACTTTTTCACACACATACAAGCCTGTTCTCACACCTCTCTCACTGCTTTATGTGAGACACTGCTTGGAGAGCTCATTGCTTTTGTTACCTAATGAAAGAAGGCCAGCATCCTACATATCCAGCTGCTACTGTCCTCTGCTTCAACTCCATCATCTGCTACAATCAGGTTTCTCTGTAAAATATGTCTTTCCAAACCAAGCAGAATTCTTGATAAAGCTATAGTGTGTTAACATACATTATCATATCCCTACATTGTGAAAAGCAAATATGACAAGTCAGTTTGGTGTTAGCATCTGTGTGAACAGGCACATCCGAAGCCTCAGTCCTGTTTGTGTTATATATACTGGGATGTCTGTAACTGGTGTACATACTGTGACACTTGCAGCAGTTGAGGTTAAAAACCAGAGCAGCCATCTGTTTTTTGTTTTTTTAATCAGGTTTGTTTTGTCTCTAATCACATCAGTGTAGTGCACCCATCTTCCCAGTAGAGAGAGCTAAAGCTAGGTATCACTGCTGCCATGCTTTGCCTTGTGTGTCTAGATACAGTATATGAAGTTGCTAGGCTTGGTGTGGGACCTGTCTTGAGGATATTTTTATTATGTTCATAGTCTAGAGATGTTACTGTTCACTGACCTGCAAGACTTAGGAATTTATCCCAAATATATATGTAAAATGTGAAAGCTGTATGCTACATTTGACATTTTCATTTCCTTCACCATTATTAGAGAAAAGGTGGAGGTTTCATTCCTTGTCTTGGCTGTTTTATTTGCAAACATTTTTTTTTCTCACGCTGCGTCTTTTTTCTCCCCTCATTCCTTCCCAACGACCTTTCTCTGCCTAGATGCATTTCCCTCAAAATGCTTCCTATAAAGCTTTAAAGCTTTTTAAAAGGGGCTAAAGGTTTTGATGATAATGTCAGACAAGTCACGATGTAATTTCCTGAGAGATCAGTGAAATTCATTCATGTCGTCAAACCTGTCATTGATGGGATGGTCATGATTCGTGATTTTTATTTTTATATACTGCTACACTATAAACACACAACACATACCAAAGTTCACATATTTTAAAAAGCCAGTATGGCATAAACCATGTCCAGTTTTTAAATGAGCAGATTTTCTGATATATATTACAGGAGGTTTATTTACAAACCTTCAGATTTTATTTCAAATATTTGTATGAAATTTGATTGATAGTTGTTTTGAAACATCTTTCTTTCATCCTCTCTATATGTAATGTACTGTGCCTTTCTGACATATGCTCTCATGGGAGTCTCCATTCCTGCCCAACACCCTACAAGTGAACACACTAGAAAAGCAGCACTCTAGGAAGGACACACACATATACACAATAATAAGCATTGTTAAAAACCAACCTAAAAATTTGAAAGAAGTGGCTTTCAACTGATATAGACAGCTGTCTTTCACATGACTGATTTGCTCGTTGCACACTAGTACACTTGTTATGATGGCTTTAGGCTTTAGGCTTTCAGGATTGTGATTTTTTTCTTTTTTTTAGTTGAGGCACTTTATTAATCACTCTCTATAGTGAGCCTTTAAGAATGCTTGCAACTGTCAGAAAACACTGCACTGATCATTTATGCTGTATCATATCGAGTTAGAATTATTTTCCTTATTATCTTTCTACCCTTCTGTCTCCACAGTACGCTAGAAACAACCTTTGACACCACAGTAACCACTGAGGTCAATGGGCGGAGCCTCCCAGCTCTTGGTGCACGCTCCTCCCCCATGGCCTGGCGACTGGGCCCAACACAAACCCCACGTCTCCAGGCAGGTGACTCCCCCTCAATGCCCAGCGGCTATGCTGCACCTAGAGCGAGCTCATCGAGCACTGGCACCACCACAGGGCGCTGCAGTGGGCACTCAGAACCCTCCAGGTTTGTGTACAACATCCTTGTGACACGAGGCAGCAGCAAGGGAGAAGGGGGTGGGGAAGGGGTAGAAGGGAGGAGGGCTGGAAGGAGGGAAGCAGATGGAGGTGGCAGGATACATGAGTGATAAGGACCCTCTAGGGAAGAACAGCCTGGATGGATGAGATTTGCAGGGGGTAGGATAAGTACGTTACCTTATCCTATATATACAGTATATTAGTGTCGTTAACTCTTGGCAAGAAAGCAAATAGTAAAAATGGTGATCTATTGCTTTAAAATGACAAGCATAAATTTGAAAGTGCACATTCCAAACTGGTGTTTATTGGTGGTAGGGCATTTTGTTTGCATTAAACCATCAGTTGCTTAGCTAAAAATTCAGTGAAACAGGCATGAGCTCTGAGATGCATAACAGTACATTCTCCGACCATAGCACAATACCAGTTTCATGTCATATGGACCCTTTAGCGAATGTTTAAGTTTTTGCAGACTGCCTAATAACTGATGACTAGACTAGTGTTTGCATTAGCTTTCCACAACTGAAATGAAAGGTTTAGCATCAAAGATAGAGTTTATATGAGGATACCATCTACCATCAGACTTCACTTTCACTTTTTCTTGTGCTGCTTCTAGTTGTGCCTCCTTTAGTGTTTGAAAAATGTGATCTTTTATACTATGAACACACCACTTACAGTACATTTTAAAACTCACTCATGCTGATGACATTTTGTAAGGCCATGTTTGTGTATGGTAATCCCATAGCTCTGCTTTTCTGTCTAAAGCTGAAGACATCTGCTGTAATATACAGTAGGTGACCTTCTATATCACTTACTGTATACTGATTAAGATGCCTCTCCAGAGGTCTTTACTTTTTTGAAGTATCATGAAGACAAGTGATACATTTCTGTTCAGTGTGTTTAGTCCAAAACACCCTGAAATTCATGGTTAACTGTGAATTCATGCAGTTGCCAAGGCCTCAACAATCTCTCTCTGTGCATTAATACAAATAGCCTGCTGACATCTACCAAGGTGTCATTGGTATGATCAGGAAGGTTCAAGTAATACATTTGTGTGAACCTTGAGGGCACTCAGTACACTGACAGATTACCTGAATGAAAAAAGATAAGCTTCCACAAAACATCATGAAAATGTGGGTGGGCTTCCAGCCTTCATCAATTCAATAGCAATAAATGCCTTGAGCAGGTGTTACATATATTGAAAAAGTAATTCACATTTCCCACACACACTCACAAGAACACACACTCCCACTTGGCATGAGGTTTTCCTAAAAAGGCATTTGGAAAGCAGGTAAATCTGGGAAGGGAAGTTAAAGCTTTATTCACTAAGATTTGGCACACATTTGGATAAATCAAGTAAAAAATTGTCTAGAAGTATTTTTTTTCCCTGCTGTACTAACGCCCCACCACCACTCTGCTATCTCCAGGCCCTGTGTTTATTCCTTCCCCTCTCTGGGCAGTGTTGTTAAAATCTTTAACGGTCAAAAATTTGAGGCAGAAGTTGGTTAATGCAACTTTAAGTGAGGTGTGATGGAGTAGAGCATCTGTAGAATTACAGACATGTCAAAACAGAAAATGTAAAAAAGTGTCATAGGGAATAATTATCTGAATAATTAGCTTAATTAGCTCATCACTAATGAACCTGTGTCCTATCAGCTGCTATCTCACAGTAGCCTCAAATCCTATCACCTACTCTCTGCCACATATACATCAGCACATACAAAGAATCATTTAAACATGTAACTTCATTGTGAGTTCACAAACTGCTCCTACACTCTAAACAATGTCCATTAATTAGATTATCTACAGGTCACACAATTCACTATCTTCTCTGTATTTTATTTTAATTAATCTGCTACTTTTCATTAATTAAAAAGTGAAATTATTGGATAACTCAGATATTTTATGCCAAACTAAGTGTCAACTTCCTGTAATGACGTCTCCTTTCACAGATACCTTACAGATGGCGGCCTCCATCTGTATGCACGGAATGCAGGCCGAGCCTCAGATGTGGTTTCATCTTGGGAGATGTCCCAGAGAGGAGGCCACGAAATGCAGGGTGACATAGACAGGTAAGGATGGAACCTGTCACTCATACAGTGCTGCTTGTTTTGCTGATATGTGTTTGCACCACAGCCAGGTCTAGTTGAGGTTTCTGAATGGATGAAAGGACATAGTTATGTATACAGTGTCTAAATTGTACATTTTAGTTTTCATTTCATGCTGATGCCTCAGCTCCAGAGCATCAGTGGGTTCAGTGGTCCAAGCTTCAGTAACTTTGCTAGTTTCCAGTCATCTTTCAGTTGCAGCCAGGTGGATGTTTTTCAAGGGTAAATCCACCAGACTGTGATTTACAGCCAGTGATGCATGTGTGTGATGCTGCAGTGAGAATGGCAGAAAGGTTGAATTGATATCAACTTTCCCAAGCAGAAAATGTAGGCACATCCTCTCAGAGCCAGTTTGACTTCCTGTCCACTAATGTCTGCTAAAGCATTCACCTTTGTGACCGCTGCCTAGCTAGCAACTTAGCACCCGAGCAGAAGTACAATTAGCAGTCAATTTGAACAATCAATAATGCTTTTAAAGAGTTAGATCTAAATGTGTATTTTGTAATCAGCTACAAAAATGTTGTATGGATTTCTTTAGTTTACATCAGTAGTTTGCACATGCAAATTGCACATGCCAGTGTAAAAACCTTCCCCCTACAGTATTTTAGGGAAATCCATGAATATCTATATTATGCTTTGTAAAAATAGTTTAACAGCATACTGACATTATAAAGAAACCAGTAATAAAGGGAATGAAGTTAATACTTGAGGGTCTGACTTTATTCACATTGCTTTAGGAAAAGAAATGGGAGATACAGAAAAATATAGGCTTATATCAGATGATATGGTCATACTATGATATAATGGCAGAGCATATGTGCTGAAAAGATGAAACAGGTTACGAGCTTTCACTTTCTGACATATGATACAGAGCAAACATACAGTATCTGCACCAAACAAGTCTAGTTTGCTCACTGCAGATCGTAGGTCATAGGGTCCCCTTTACCCAGTAAAAGAATAATGAAAGCAAAAACAATGAGGAAGAAGTCATAAATAAATAGGAACAGTCAAGACTAAATGATTAAGGTTATTTATTTAAGTTGACAAGCCTGTAGAGAGGCTGGGAATTGACTGATACATTGACACATCCCAGTGTTGCAACTTCAACTTCTGCCAAGATATTCATGAGTGCCAGTGTTTAGACGAGTGGAAGGCTTGTAAAGACTCTAGTCAGTTTTCTGACTGCACAGAAGGAAAAGCTAAATATGCTAAGTGTGCTTTTGTTTACATAAGGCAGATTTAAACAGGGTAAAATATGACTTGCAGAAATGTTTTTGCTTCCTGCTGTATCTTTGTTTTTGCTACCCATCTACATAAACCAGTCGTTTCAAAGCCCAGATGATCCTACTTCTGGGTTATACAGTAACTGCTCCATCTTGCTAGCATGTTTGTCACAGCAGTCAGTCAGGCCAGGCATCCAGGGGTATATGTATGATTGACTAAGGGTCAAAACATGACCAAATAAACTGATCTGCTTGTTTGACAAGTTTGACACTCAGACAAAGGGATGGATCAGATAAGAATAAATATTAACCCTGTGGACGGTTTCTTCCATCTGAATCTTAGCTTCACTCTGTGTGATTTATTGTGTGTTAGAATATTTTGCCTAAAGTGTCTCTTGACCTTTCCTTGACATACAGCCACAAAACTGCAGCTTTTCTCAGCTAAATTCTTTATTAGTACTCTGGGCCTCAGCTGCGATGAGAAAATATTGATGCCTGCTTCTCCTTAAGATGTCTGCAGGGAAGAGACTCCCAATGGGTCAGAACCTTGTCTTCCTTACATCCATCCTCATTTTTTCCCTTACAAAGTGATGTGAATGTGCACACAGACACACAAATACAGTACACTGATTCCCCTGCTTCCTTCTGACATGCGTGATCGTCAGAAGTTGAGCTGTCACTTCCTACTGACGCATGACAAAGCTAAGGGGGAGAATTCATTTCCAAAGTCACTGCTCAACAGGTTTCACACCTCAGTGCAGCTTTAGCTCTCTCTGTAGCCCTCCATCATTGTTTCCTTCTGTATCCCAGAGTATTTGTCTTCTTTACCCACTGGCTTTAAGTGAAATGAGTAGTGGAGATAGTCTAAGTTCAATCTAGTCACTTTAAAGAACTTTTCATCTCTCCAAATGCACATATTGACAATGGCAAATACAATCAAAGCATTCATTCTGAGATTCATTAATTCATTCATTCTGAACTGTTGTAATATTTGGACTTTACATGGATGTCTAAACTCACTTGTTGTACACAACTGGCTAGTTCCAGACTATCGAAAGTAGAAATTTTCCACAAATTGAGATTTTTTTTTAATAGCTTACCAAGCAACTGCATCAAACCACTCAGCTCAGCTCATTTCAGAAGAAAGCATTTGCCTTCTGAAGTTTAACAGCTACAAGTAGATATTGCTGTAATAATTTTACTAAGTGTGAAAAGTGTAACAGTACAAAAACACTGAGAAGAATAAAATCTCAGTGCAGAGCAGACCTATAGTAGAGCTCAGATGCTGCCACTTCTTAATGTCATTAAAGACTCTTTTGTTTCTCACAAACCACAAATTATGAGCTTACGTTTTACTCAAGGCCCTGCCGACCCAGTGCCTTGCTGTGCAGAGTTTGTTTGCTCTTCCTGTGCCTGCGTGGGTTCTCTCCAGGTACTTCGGCTTTCTCCCACAGTCCCAAGACATGCAGCTTAGGTTGACTGGTGACTTTAAATTGCCCATAGGAGTGAGTGAGTGTGGTTGTCTGTCTCTATTTGCCAGCCCTGTGACAGACTGGCGACCTGTCCAGGGTGTACCCGGGCCCACTGTCAGCTGGGATTGGCTTCACCCTCCCGTGGCCCTCATCAGGATAAGCTATATAGATAATGGATGGATGGATGGATGGATGGATGGGTGTCTTCTCTAACTGGCATTGGACTAATATAAATTAAAATGAGCCTGCTATTATAGCCTTCTCTAAAATATTTGTGACACCAGCCCTTGGTTTGCTGTGAAAAAACAAGTCCATATGGGATTCTTTTTCCTGTTTGATTGTTGAACTTCTAAGAACCATCTCAGAAGGATCTATTCTTCTAAAACCAAAGCCTGACTTTTAGTGTTGATGTAATAACTAAACTTTTTTCAGCAGCCACACAGTAACTGAATGTATTCTGTACTTTAACTGTGCATGAACAGGAGCATCTATAACTGCATATGCATACTACAATTTGTTTGCTGTTTCACCTCTGGTGGCTGGGCATAGTTTTGAGTGACAATATCTGTGAGCAGTATATGTGCTCATGGCTTTACTGTAAAAAACAAATAAATAAATAAAAAAAGATGCCCAAGGAGAATGGTGTGACATTGACAGCTCACTGTTTTCAGCAGAGATATGAATAAGTAACAGGCCTCACTTTTAGCATCCTGGTGTCTCTTGTGTGTCTGTCTGTCTTTTTCCACTCAAGCTTCCTCTTGAGGGCTTGACTGAGATGGTTGCAGGTTCTGTGATTTTTGGTTCTTTGAAGTTTTGGGGAATTTGGAGAGTTTGTATGTTTGAATGCATGTTGTGTGGTGGTTAAGCTGCCTGTACTTGACAAGCAGAGAGCATTTTCATGCACTTGTCTTGGACTACATTTTATGTGCATGTGTATATGCACTGATTGCCAAATACATGTGTATTTCTGAGGAGCAGGATCCTGGCTGACACTCTGCAGAGCACGGTGCAGTTGCACAGATCGTTAGTGCTGCCATAAGCAGCAAGGACATTTGGAAGAGGAAGTTTCTGTCACGTCTCAGGCACAGGGAGGACCCAAATATGTAGACACCGGCTGAGGAATAGTTCTTGGTAGAATTATAATATAAAGGATACTGGACAAAGGGAAAAACTCAAGGAGCTCAACCTGAGAAGTGTAACAAAATATTGACTAAGCCTACAACAAAAATGGTTCAGTCAGGGAGCTAGTAAAATGAACTCAAACTCAAACAAAACCAAAGAAACAAAACAAGAATCCATAATGACAGGTAAATCCAAAACTCAATGGGAACAGTCCAAAATTTGCCAGAGCAGGAAACAAAGGTTACAGGAGCAATGCAACCAGGCAAGGTGTGGTGAGCAGATGAACCTGCATCTAAATGAAGGAAGTGAGCGACTATAAAGACTAGAGACCAGGAAATAATTAGTGATAATCAATAACTGGGGTGAATCTGAGGCAGATGAGATGGCACAAACAGGAAACATTTACCAAAATACAAGTACATAACGGGAAGTAAGTCCAAAACCCTAACAGTTTCTGCCATGACAAAACCAGTCATAATATAAGCTTCTGTGTAACTCATCACTGCCACACATCGTCTCACACATTACACCTAAAGTTGCAGCATTTCAACATCTGCTATCTAGCTTTCTGAAGTTTTCTGGCACCTCAGTCTTTTTCTGTTTCAAAGAAACAAACTTTTTTGTCTTCCCACCTTAGTGAAGAGCACACAGGCGCAGAGACTAAACTTAGCAGCTGTGATGGTACTTGGCAGAGGTTTTATAACAAATTTGACTACCCAGCTGTGTCTGGCTCTTGTGTTCATGGAAATAGGTATTCTGCCTTATGTGAGTGCTTGTGTGCATATACAGTATATGTCTACTCAAGAACAGGTCAGTTGTGACCCACATAAACACACAAATCAACCATATATTAATTCAGATGAGCTCAAGGAAACGTTTCCAATTTTTGGAAGTTTTCTTCACATTTCTTCCATCCATCCTTCCATTTTCCTCCGCTTATCCGGAGCCGGGTTGCGGGGGTAGCAGTCTAAGTAAAGATGCCCAGACTTCCCTCTCTCCAGACACTTCCTCCAGCTCCTCCGGGGCAATGCCGAGGCGTTCCCACGCCAGTCAAGAGACATAGTCCCTCCAGCGTGTCCTGGGTCTTCCCCCGGGGCCTCCTCCCGGTGGGACATGCCCGGAACACCTCCCTAGGAAGGCGCCCAGG